TATATATATATATTTACAATCTCGAAAACTCACAGAGGCAGTTCCACTCTGATCTTTAGGGTTCCTGTGAATCAGAATTGACTCAATAGCAGTGAGTGATACATAACGAATTTTATATCAAGAAAAGAACTCACACAATTTCGACAGGTTTAAGGCTGTGGGTCAGCTCTTCTGCCAGAGCTGACAAACCAGAAAGCAGGAGTACAAACTATGAAACAGGAAGACCACAGGTTAGTAAAGGCTGAGGCAGATGAATCCAAGATCAGCAAATCAGGTTCATGGCTCTTCCTGATATGTATCACTGCTGGGGCTGAACCAGGCTTGTGGCTGCAGAGTCAAATGAATCTAAGCTTGGCAAGCAATATGGCAGATCTAGGAGCCAGACTACCAGAGTAGCGAGATAGCTCCCCCACAATGTTGACTGATTTAAGAGTAGACCACACTCAGATGAAACTCCTTTCCAAGTGCCTCAGGGTTGTGAGAAACAAAGCAGGGGGACTGGATGTCCTGATTTTAAAATCCCTCCAGTCATCAGAAAAGCCTCATATTGGTGTAACAAGAGACACATCATCTATTAGAATAGAACTGACAGTCCAAATATAAACCCACACATCGATGGTCAACTCTTATTTCACAGGAGGCGTGAGGTCCATTTGATGGAGAAAAGGAATTCCTCTTCCTGCCATGGTCTTTCTAGCTGTCGGATTGGTTCCAGCCAATCATGGTAATGTGTCCATGGTACGTGAGACAAAATCGCATGCTGTTCATAAGGTGTGCAGTGGCCAGTTTTCCAGAAATGAACTGCCTCATCCTTCTTCCTAGTCTTAGTCTGGAAACTGCTGAAACCTGTCTATTGTGGTTGACCCTGCTGATATTTTAAATACCTCTGGCATAGCATCCAGCTTCACAGCAATATGCAAGCCACCCCAGTACAACAAACTGAAAGACAAGTGGGGTTCTCTAAATGGTGATGGAAAAATTAGGTTTCCACGTGTAGAATAATGAAGCAAATGTTCATACTTCAACTATACTCTACATAAAAATTCAAAATGTGATAGGCAAATCTGTAGAGACTGGATTAATGGTTTCTTGGGAGTATGGCAGGGGAGATTGATGGGAATGGAGAGCAATGAGTATATAATAAAAAGAAAATGTTCTACAATTGATTATAGTAATGATTGTACAAGGCTTCTTGATATGATATGTGGATTATATGCCAATAAAACAAATATAATAAAAGCACAAACCACAACAAGATAAATAAATATGACCACATAAAAAATAAAACTTTTATTCTTCAAAAGACCCTACACAATGAGAATGATGATGGCAACAAATGTACAAATGTGCTTGACACAGGGATGTATGTATGGATGTGATAAGAGTTATACAAGCCCCCAATGAAATGATTTTTTTTTTAAAGGCTTTACACAAAGGTGAAAAGACAATCTACAAATTGTGAGAAAAGTCTTCAGAAATCATATATCAGAAAAGGAACTAACAATCCAAATAGAGAGAGAGCTTTGACAAGGTAACATCAGACAGACAGATAGGCATAAAGTGAGGCAAGGCCTTGAACAGACACTGCACCAAATAGAACATTCAAATGTCAACCAAAGCGGGGGTGCGGGGGGCCTCCACATCATTAGACATCAGGAAATACCCGTCAAAACCCCAATGAGATTCCGTTTATTAGCATGTTGTTGGGCGCCACTGAGTTGGTTCCAACAGCAAGTCTGTGTCCAACAGAGTGAAGCACTGCCCAGTTCTGTGCCCTCGTCACAGACGTCGGAGACCATTGTTGCAGCCACTGGCTCATCCATCGTGCCCATCTTCCTCCTTTTCATCGGCCCTCTACTTTACTGAGCATAATGTCCTTTTCCAAGTACTGGTCTCTCCTGAAAAGATGTCCAGTGTACATGAGAGGACAGCTTGCCATTTCTGCTTCTAAAGAACATTCAGGCGGCCATTCTTTGAAGATCGATCTGTTTGTTCTTCCGGCAGTGCCCAGCACTTCAAATATTCTTTGCCACCAAATTGAGACTTGTGCATCGGTGTTCATTGTAGCCCTAGTCACAATAGCCGGAATGTGGAAATAGCCTAAATGTGTATTATCCAGATGAATGAATAATCAAATGTGTGGTACATACTATGCAAAACTACGAAGCCTTAGGAGAATTAAAGTCTTGATACATGGTACAGTGTGGAGGGAGCCTGAAGACATTAAGTTGAGTGAAGCAGACCAATCACTAAAGGGTAAATATTGTCTGATCTCACATATAAAAAGACAAGGCAAATGTATAAACAACTAATTTTCTTAGTGGTTACCTGGTGTGGGGGTGAGGAGGAGAAAGTGATTGCTGCTGAAGGAATACTGAGTTTAAGTTTATAGTGATGGGAAAAAGGACATTGATTAAAGATAGGATTGCATAGTTGATTATGTGGTTATAAATAGTTTTATACCTACAGTCTCAAGTAGTTTTTATCAAAGATGAGTCCCTGACCCATTAAAAAAACTCTATGTACTTTACATGCCAATATTTTCAAAGCTGTGTAAATAACTTTTAAAGATGTACTACCAATATGATCGAATTATTATATTAATTAAAAATAAATGTAAACATGAAGGAAAAAAAGAGTCATGGTCTCAGTAAGTCACAGGGGCAGTTCTACTGGGGTCACTGTGAATTGGCATTCATTTGAATGGCAGTGAGGTGGGTTTTTTGGTTGTTTTTTTAGGGAGCAGTGAGTTTATATTAATAGAAGAAGTACAGATCATCAAAAGTTGATGAGAATGGTTGTATATCTCTAAAATTTCCATCTACGTTACTGAGTTATACACAGAGAAATTGCTACGTTGGTATATTTCTGTGAATATTCTCAACAACCACAAGTATATTTCTTTTTCTTTAAAAACAAAAAAAAATAGCCTAACACGCACCATCTAAGACACAGACTCAAAAGCTGAATGCAACCCGAGCTTCTGAAAGCTGATTAATCAGTTGGTAAAACCTAAACCTCTTGGAGAGACAGCCCCAAGCTTTCACAGTGGGAGGTCAGCAAATAGGAGGTTTTCAGGCTCCAGAGAGAGGTGTGGGTTTGGCTCTCAAGCAAACGGAATCCAGTGTACCCACTGAATCGGTCTGGATTCCTATTGTTCGCAGGCTCCATGAATCCAGTGGCCGTTCAGGTGGACCATGTATATTCTGCCGCCTCTAGAGAAACCGGTGGGATTCTTCATTACCATGCTGTGCCTAGAGGAACCTTCCGTTCTTTCTCGGGGCCTCCCTTTTGGTAGAGGGGGGTTGTTGGTGTTGCTGCAGACGTTACTGTTCAGCTTCCATCCTCTCTGCTGAGCGTTGACTCAGGTGCTCCAGGTAGTTGTTCAAATATTGCTTGCTTGTCCCTTGACAAATGGCAGTAAGCCACTTTTGATGTGTTAGAAAGCTTTTCCTGGGGTTTTATCCACATGTCCTTGTTTGTTACTCTAGCAAAGGCATTGTTCTAGTTCATTATTTCCCAAAGTGGGCGACACTGGCGCCTGGGGGAGCTGGATTATTTCAGGGTGGCTGTAAAAGCAGATACTTGATCTGGGATTATAAATTATAGTACAGAGGTTTTTAAGCCAGAAGTATGCTCCTTTTCTGAAAAGGAGACAGTAGATCAAAAAAGTTTGGCCCCTGTGCTTTGTATTTGTATATGTTTTGACCATATCCGATTTTTTATCTGATTTTCAAATAGCCACAGACAAGCAAATGATCAAACTTGCAATCCATGTGATTTGTGATGAGGGGTGTGTTTTGTGGGAAAGATCACTGAGTCGTAGAGAATGCTCAGAAGGCGAATATGCAGATGTTTCATTATTATCGATCCCACTTTCAAGTGGGACAGTTACTCTTGATTCTGATGCCAAAGACATTCTGGGTTTCTTTCCTGCATGCTTTCTTTTTCTCTTTCTCTTTTAAATACGCAGAAGCACATTAAATCATGACAAACAGCAATGAAAGTAAGTCTTCAAACGTGCCTGCCTCATCATCAATCACCTGTGTACTTCCTACCCCAACAGGGATGATGGATACATCGGCCTTGGCTTCGTAGTTTGTAACTGAGTCCCGTGTGGTCGCAACCGAAAGGGTTATTATATTCTTTAATTTCAGGAGACCTGTGATCTGGAGAAGATAAAACCTGAAGCCAGAAGATACTTGGAAAAATCCGTTAAAATGGGGAAAAGGAACGGGCTTCACCTTCCAGAACAAGTGCAGAGCGTGAGTTTATCTATCCTCTTCTCGGTGTGGAAAATAATGAGTGAAAAGCACAAGGCCAGGAAATAGGTGCATTGTGCTAAAGTAACCCATAATACATGCAAAACCATTTAGTCTATTTGGCCCTCAGTGGCTTTCCAGTCGGCAACTTCTGTGAACATTGTAGTGACTGGCAAACCGCCGACCCTTCATTGCTCTTTAATCCTTTAACAGTTTCCTTGGAAACGGTGTGTGTGTGTGTGTGTGTGTGTGTGTCTTGCGCATACTTTCCCTGTTCTGTCTTACATCCTTGAAGTGTGAATTCCAGGTTTTCATCGTGAACTTGTATCCTCACTCTACTGGCCATGTAAAGATCATCGCATACTGATTATAAAACCCTGTTCATGCCGTACTGTAAACCAGCCCTTTGGAACGGAATGCCCTACAGTACTATATGTCCCTTAATGAAAGCGAGATAGGCTCATGAAAAGTGCTTCTTTTGTATTAGACAGTCATATATTTCATTTGGGGAAGTAAACTCAGCTACGGTATTGACCTCATTTTTCTTGAGCAGGAAAGAAAGCCCACGGTTTGTTTCCAGGTCATCCTTCAGGCCAGCAGAACTAGAAGTAAATGTGAAACAAATCCACATGAAGTGATGTCAGCACGTTCGATAGGTCCCCTCATCCCCTTTCTATCCGATTCATTCGAGTTAGAAGAGGGACGTGACCCATGGAACTTGCCTGACCCCTTCCTGTCCTTGTCAATACTCTCAGTCTCTTGGGGGCACAGGCACCAGGTTAGTTAAGAAGCGGTTGATTGTAGCTAGCCAGACCCGGTGTAAATTAGTTTAAGTAATAGGAGAGATGGATTTGCTTGTATGATTGGAAAGTTCAGAGGTAGATCGACTTCACAGTTCATTTGATCCAGATGCTTGCTGTCATTATAAACCTGATTTTCCTGTTTCTCTACTCTGTCTTCTTTATATCACTATTTTTACAGACTGACTTTTATTCATTACTAGAATGGCTGTAGACAGAAAAGAAAAAAAAATCTCACCACCCAGAAGGACACAGAGAAACCCCATCAAACCCCTACTTGTGTCTTAATGACCCAGATTAAATTATATGTCTAATCCTGAACTTTGTCATCAGGGGAATGCCACCAGGCCTGGATGATTTGAGCGAGTGATTGAGAGGACTTACGGGCTGAGGTCCCACCAGTGACATAGTGCTGCACAGTGGAGACAAGGCAGCAAGAGTGTCGGAAAAATTGACTGAACCGCGTGTATGATAACTTGGTGGTTTCAAACATTAACAACCTCAGAATTACCTGACGACTGGCTAAAATTCTCATCCTTAAAGTTTGTGACTCATCCTAGTGTTGGGACTAAATAATTTAACTGCCTCATTTTTCTAGGTGTAGCTGATACTTGTAGTCAGAGCCACATTATGAGAACGAGAGGTTTCACTTCATTATCTTGCATGGTTTTTAAAAACTCGTTAAAACTGAATCCTTACTTCTTTTCCTAAGTAATCACAATTAATTACTGGTTTGCTTGTGTCTTGCTTTACTTCAGCACCAAGTAATGATTCCTAATTTTGAACTTAACGTATGTTCATTTGTAATACAGAGAGAGAAAGATAAGATTTTCTGATCTTGCAAAATGTTATACAGCCTTAGAAACCATGGGGTCGCTGTGAGTCAGAATCCACTACAGGGCAGTGATTGAGTGAGTGAGAATCTATATTGAGCTACTTCATTCATTTGATCACTCAGCAGTTATTTATTGAATATCTATTCTATGACAGGCACTCTTTATTACACATCCTAGATTCATTGGTTCTTCTTTCAGAATTTAAAATATGATCCAACTTGCCTTTCTATGATTTCTCTCTAGGAATACACATGCCAATGATTTCAAAGACTTGGAAGCTGTTTTACCAAGCATATCTTTAAGAAAGTACTTCCAATTGGGCAGCCCCTCCAGAAGGATCACAGGGAAGAGATGAGCCAGTCGGGGGGCAGTATATCATGGATGAAACACACAACCTTCCTCTAGTTCTGTAATGCTTCCTTCCTCCTACTATCATGACCTCAATTCTACCTTACAAATCAGATTAGACCAGAACATGCACACCGCTACAGATAAGAGCCCCAACACAAGGAATCCAGGATAGATAAACCCCTCAGGGCCACAAGGAGAATAGAGATACCAGGAGGATTAGGGGAAGGTTAGTGGAGGAAAGGGGGAATTGATCACAATGATCAACATATAACCCCCTCCCAGGGGGACGAACAACAGAAAAGTGGGTTAAGGGCAACAGAAGACAATGTAAGGTATGAAAATAATAATCGACAACTTATCAAGGGATCATGAGGGAGGGCAGGCAGGGGAGGAAGGGAGGAAAATGAGCTATTAGAAAGGGCTCTAGTAGAAAGAAAATGCTTTGAAAATAGTGAGGGCAGCATATGTGCAAATGTGCTTGACACAATGATGAATGTATGGATTGTGATAGAGCTGTAAGAGCCCCCATTAAAAGTTTTAAAAAAAATAAAAAGATGCGATTAACAAAAAGAGAGAGACAGAGACAGAGAAAGTACTTCCAAAGGGTTGGGCACAGAAGCCAAACTTCACATCCAAATGAAATGACTTGACGGGTAGCAATAAAAATCTGTTTCATTTTACCATTGAATGCCCTGTATTTTTTTTCTTTGTTTCAGGAAATCAAAGAAATGAAGAAAAGAATGAGTGAGCTATGTATTGACTTCAACAAAAACCTCAATGAAGATGACACTTTCCTGATATTTTCCAAGGCAGAACTGGGTAACATTTTGTCATTTATGTAGATTTAATGATGTCACTTAGGGAAATGATGTCACTTTGCAGTTGATTCAATTTCCAGATACCAAATTTAAAGAGTTTAGAAAGTATTCAGTCCTAACCTCAGTAATGTCTTCTACCAAAAAGACAATCAGAGGCGATTTCCCTTCTCTACTGGTACTTTCAGCTGGTGTTCCACGACCTTCAGTGCCCTCAGATTTCATCTGCCTTACATTGTGCCCTCCACTGTAAGTTAAGCAAGTCTCCTTCTACTCTGTCCTTGGAATATTTTGGCTGACTTTGAAATACCCTCTCTTAAGCCACCTGACCTCTAACCGCCACCTTCCATTTCAACAACATCTAAAAGCTATTAGCATAAGGGGTGTCACCGGTACTTGAATTGCAGTTATCCACAAAATTCCAAACCCACGTCAAGGCACTCTGCCAATTCTACATAAACCAGTAATGAGTGGAAACAGTGATGTATTGCCCACATTGTGTTTTACAGGTGCTCTTCCTGAGGATTTCATTGATAGTTTAGAGAAGACAGATGATGACAAGTATAAAATTACCTTAAAATATCCCCACTATTTTCCTGTCCTGAAGAAATGTTGTGTGTCTGAAACCAGAAGGAAGCTGGAAATGGCTTTTAATACAAGGTGCAAAGAGGTACTGCAGATGTTATCTTTTGTTTTTGTGGAAGATTTTGAGAGAAAGGCTTAATTTGTCGACATGGGTAGAAGTCTATTCACAGACTGATATTCCTATTTGTGTCTGCATTAGGTGTCTTGATTTGCCTCTCAGTTCTTGTAACCTATAGCATTTTTAGTCCTCTGGTTGGCCATTGGGATTTTGCTTGGTTTGAGCACAGGCTTTGCTAGTCTAACAAAATAGAATGGGTCATACTAGAGCTTTTTGCTTTTATGTTCCCTATTCCAAGCCAAGCTTATGCTTATTCAATCTGTATGCTAAGCAAATAATCAATGAAACCGGATTATATGGAGAAGAATGCTGCATCAAGATTGGGGGAAGATTTAATAACATCCTGCAATATGCAAATGCCATAGCCCTACTGGTTGACAGTGAGGAGAACTTGAAATACTTGCTGATGAAGATCAAGGATTGCAGCCTTCCATATGAATTACAGCTCAATGTTCTTTACATAATCCTCACAACTACACAACCCTCGCACCTGTACCAATGATAATATCATGACGTTGTCAAGGATTTTGTCTTGCTTGGATCCATGGGCAATGTTAATAAAAGCAGCAGTCATGAGAACCAAGACATGTTACATCAGGTAAATCTGTAACACACGAACTCTGGGTGTTACTTTGATGATGAAGATGCACTTGTCCCAAGCCATGGTATTTTCAGTTGTCTTGTATGCATCTGAAAATTGGACATTGAATAAGGAAGACGGAAGAAGAATTGGTGCATTTTAAATATGGTGCTAAAGAAGAATATTAGAGGTATCACAGACCGCCAAAAGGACAAACAAATTGTCTTGGAAGAATTACAGCGAGAATGCTCCTTAGAGGAAGAACAATGAGACATCATCTCAATTACTTGGGACATGCTGTCAGGAGAGACCAGTCCCTAGAGAAGGACATCATGATTGGTATTGTGGAAGGGCCACGAAAACGAGGAAGGCCCTCCACAAGATAGATTGACACAGTGGCTGCAGCGATAAGCATAATTTTAAGGATAGCGTAGGACTGGCCAGTGTTTCAGTCTGTTGTACATAGGGGTTGCTATGAGCTGGAACCCACTTGACAGCAACACACAATGCCATCAGTCTGCTTCCAAGGTTATCCTACTTGTCACCGTTTCCTAACCTATTGAGAAGTGGGGTGAAAGAGAGACTATAGAGCAAGCACCTGCAAAGCAAAAGACCCAGAAATGGCATGCATCCTCTCCTTTCACACTGCCTTAGAGAGAGAGCCCTAACAGTGGTTATTGTAATTGCTATCAGTAAGTTGTACACCTATAAAAAACTGAATTGGCAAAAATGGTATAACTACAACAATGACCTAAAAAAAAAAAGAGTAGCTGCTAAGTGTGGTTATGGATGGGATTTTGTTCCCCATATATGGAGGTTTAAGGTCATGACTTCTTGGGAGATTCTAATAACTAATTAATTGGCCTAATCATGTATGTATTGTTTCCAGGATCTTAAAAGCTTGCAAGCAGGCATCCAACATACCACAAATGGTGTGGGTTCACATAGAGCATAGGTTCTTGAACTTAATTTAGCCTACTGCCCCCTTTTCAGAAGAATAGAAAAAAAAATTCAGTGCCCCCCCCCACCTCCAGCAATTAAAAACTTGTGCACTGTAGTCCAAACTCTAGAATAAAGTGTAGGTATCTGCTTTTGCACCCCCACCCCCTGGATCTTTCCAGCACTGCCCCACCCCCACCCCAGGAGGCAGTATCACCCACTTAGAGAAACAATGACTACAGTATCCCAGGAAGAGGAGTGGCAGGAACCACAGGATGGCCATGGAATGTATGACCCATTGTGTCTATGAACAACTACTTCCTCTGTCATGAGGAGGCCAAGAGTGACCCAGTGGTTCCCATCTACCTTTACTGAGCATTTCGCTAAAAATGCCATGGATGAATCCTGATCAAAGATGGGGAGATGCAGAAGAGAATCTTTCCCCTTCTCGAGCCATAGAGGCTGGGTGAACCCCTGAAACTATGGCCCTGAGAACCCGTAAACTTCAGTTCACAAAGGTCCTCTGAAGGCATCTTAAAACTTGACAGGAGTTTAGCTTAACTGGTTTAAAAAAAAAAGTCTGCTCTGATTGAGCATTGTGATATCTCTGTGGCAGCGGTTCTCAACCTGTGGGTCGAATGACCCTTTCACGGGTCGCCCAATTCATAACAGTATCAAAATTATAGTGATGAAGTAGCACCAAAACTAATTTTCTGGTTGGGGGTCACCGCAGCATGAACTGTATTAAAGGGTCGTGGCATGAGGAAGGTTGAGAACCACTGCTCTACGGGATGAAATAGATCGGGACCTTGGGAGCAATGAGTCTGTTAATGAGGGACAGTCGACTCAGAAAAGGAGGGGAGAATGGTGCCCCAACTCCGTGTCCTCAACATCACTAGTACCTGTAGGAACTGTTGGATTACTTTGTTTTTCTATGCATACTCTCAGCAGGAACCACAAAATAAAGTAGAAAGAAAATCAAATTAGTTAAAATGCAATGTGTGTATTCTTAGCCCTGGCGATGATTGTCCTATTTTGAATTCTGTCTTTGAGATGAAGTTGCAGTTAATGAGGTGCTATATCTGCAGGGAGTTGGGAGAAAGAAAGCTCTAAGACCAGAGCAAAATGTTTCTCCTCTAGAGATAAATTAGGAGCCTTGGTGGCGTATTGGTAACTCGTTGGGCTGTGATCCTCAAGGTACACATTTCAAAACCAGCAGCCGCTCTGCAGGAGAAAGATGGGGCTTTCTTCTCGCCTGCAGAGTGACCGGCTCAGCTACCCCCGGGGCAGTTCTGCTCTGTGCTGTAGGGTGACTGAGTTGGGCTCAACTGGGTGGCAGACAGATGACTTGCTTTTCAGTAGTGTTCTCCACTCCATGCCCACCCCGTCCTTCAACTCTTCAAAGTTATGGAATAAGGTTGTAAAAGTTGAGATGATCAAAACTCTAATAATTTTTACCAATCTCAAATTACACACAGTAACCTTCTTTTTTGCCCTTCATCAAATGATTGTTGTTATTTCCTAGGAAAACGCCGTAATTCTTCAGCATCTACTTCCACTGCGGGCCAAAGTAGCCACGCTCCTTGGCTATGACACACACGCGGACTTTGTACTTGAAACGAACACTGCAAAGAGCACAGGCCATGTAGCAGCCTTCCTAGGTGAGGTTTTCTCTCCTTTTTTTAATCACAGGTTTCTCATTTCTTTTTGTCTAAGGTTGTATTACTCTAACATAGCAGTTGGACAGAGGGACTTAGAATCTTGCACACCTTTAAATAGGATTGTATAAGCATCTTATTGTTTCAATCCTAAGAAATATATTGATTACCTCATGTGAATACTGAGCTGCTAACCACAAAGTCAGCAGTTTGAAACCACCAACCACTCCAATGGAGAAAAATGAGACTTTCTATTCCTATAAGGATATAGAATCTAAGAGACCCACAGCGGCAGTTCTAGCCCTGTAGGGTCACCATGAGTCAACATTGACTCACTCCACAGCAGTGAGGTTTGAATGTTTAGACTAGAGACTGTTCTTGGTTCTAGGAATTGCTCATTGTTTATGTTGCTCTTATAAATCCATTGCCATTATCAAAGAACAAAAATCATATCATTGTGAATGAGGGGGAGTGTGGAGTGGGGACCCAAAGCCCCATCTGTAGGCAAATGGACATCCCCTTACAGAAAGGTCATGGGGAGGAGATGAGCCAGTCAGGGTGCAGTGTAGCAATGAGGAAACATACAACTTTCCTTTAGTTCTTCAATGCTTTCTTCCCCACTCCCCCCACACCATCATGATCCCAATTCTACCTTACAAATCTAGCTAGACCAGAGGATGTACACTGGTACAGATAGGAACTGGAAACACAGGAAATCCAGGGCAGATGAGTCCTCAGGACCAGTGGTGAGAGGCTATACGGGGAGGGTGAAGGGAAGGTGGGGTAGAAAGGGGGAACCGATTACAAGGATCTACATATAACCCCTTCCCTGGGAGACAGACAACAGAAAAGTGGGTGAAGGGAGACGTTGGACAGTGTAAGACATGACACAAAATAATAATAATTTATAAATTATCAAGGGTTCATGAGGAAAGTAGGGGTGGGAAGGGAGGGGAAAAATGAGGAGCTGATACAAAGGGCTCAAGTAGAAAGCAAATGTTTTGAGAATGATGATGGCAACTATATCAGTCTAGGTACTTTAGAGAAACAAATCCACAGCAACTCATGTATAAGAGAGTTTTATGTAAAGAAAGTGTACATCACGAAAACATCCCAACCCAATGCTGCCCAAGCCCACATGTCCAACATTAACCCATTAACCCAACACCAGTCCACAAAGTCCTCCACCTCACAAAACAGAGGCAATGATGCCAACTGCAGGAGGGAAGCTGAGTCAGTGAACGAATAAGCATCTCAGCACTAGCAGGGGTCTCCACACGGCTGCTCCAACACCCAGGGCTGCATCGGGATAGGTCCATGTGGCTTCTCCTTGGGGATGTCTTGTAGGAAGTCAATCTTGCAAGCCAAAGCAGGGAACTACTAAGGCAGCTGCACCCTGGTGCGACCATCACAAAGCAAGAGACCCGAGAACTAGAAAGGCGAGGCTCACCCCCCATTTATCCCTCCGCCTTTCAATTAGCCCCACATGTGATTATCGGCCAGGTTGGCACAATTAACTAACTCAGCAACAAATGTACAAATGTCCTTGACACAATGGATGGATGGATGGATGATTTGTGATATGAGCCCCAATAAAATTATTTTAAAATAATAAATAAATAAAAGGAAAGGAAAATAGGGTCATATAAAAAAAATCCACTGGCATTGAGTCCATTCCGACTGAGAGCAATGCTCACTGTTTTCCAGGACTATAAATGTTTACAGATACAGACAGCCTCATCTTTCTCCTGAAGAGCAGTTGGTGGGTTTGAACAGCCAGCTTTGTGGGTAGCAGTCTAACACTTACATGACTGTGCCACCTGGCTTAATCCTGTATTATTTCTCATTTAGTATTTTCATGCTATGTAGCAAAAAGTTTAGTGTTTATTTAATAGAGAGTATTTACCCACTGGTTGTGTTCACTGTGTGGCTACTAGTGCATATATGTGAAATTAGCTGGCAAAGGGGTATAAATGAAGAGAGAACATTATAAACAAAACATCATCGTTTTCTACTCCAGAAAGGATTTCTTGTGCGATGAAAGTAATACTAATTGATAAACATCAAAACTGTCATCGAGTCACCATATTCATAGTCACTTAAAATTACTTTGCCATTAGTTTTTTAAAACCTAGGGTTCCTTAAGTTCATGGCATGTAGTCACTGATCGCCTATCACGTTGCCAACTGCCCTTCTCATCCTGAGGGTCACAGTTCAGTGCCTTTCCTTCCTCTTCTGGGAGATCGTTTAGTAGCTTAGCCGTGGTAAAGATGCTGATTTTAATTTAATCAGCTCGTACCAAAGTTGCCAAAGATGATATTTATTTTCCTCACCAGTGCCTCTCAAGCTGCACTCACCTTTGACAACTAGTCAAACTATGGAATGTATTGCTTTGATACTCATTTAAACTTGACATCCTCTTACTATCTTAATTATGTTAGCGATATTAGATAATGTGTTACAATTAGCCTTTAGCTCCGAATTCACTATGTCTTCAATGGCCTTACATTAATCCATCAATCTGTATAATATATATGCCATAAATGTGAATATTAAATTTGACATATAGCAGGGATTCCATAAGTAAGCAATATTTATTCCATAATTGAATAAATTTGCTATATTAATAATGAAGGTGGGATAACTAAAGAAGACAGTGAAGCTCCTTCCATGAATTTTGCATTGAGAGGGATGTTGGAAATGTTATGCGTTGACACAGAAGCAGGAGACGGGATGTGAGGGAGTTTGGGGAGACAAATATCTTTCCTTCAATGTAACTGCAGCCTGAAAGTGTTCCTTCAGGGCTGCCTGACTAATTTAATTCCTTTAGAGTGGCGTCATGCCACTCATTTACCTTTATTGTATGTCTAATGTCATACCATCTGGTCTCCGATGTGCTCTCATAGGCCCAATCAGAATTGCGTTTCTTTGTACCTTTCATGAGCCTCCTCCATGCTCAGAGAGCTGCATCTGTCTCACACCATGAGGTTGCCTCCGAAACGGCCATGTCCCTACTGAGCCGAGCACATTTTTATTTGACCTACGTAACAGGGCATGAAGAACATACACTAACAGAACCCACTCATTTATCTGACTACAGGGAAGCAGTCACAAAATTCGCCACAGTGCTTTGTAAGCTGGAGTATCAAAGGTTTCTCCATCTAAAAAGTGGAACTGTGGTATCCAAATATAACTTGTGAGAAATAGGGGAGTGATAAATTAAACCCATGACTGTCAAATGGGTTCAGCAATGTTTACATAATACTGACTGCAAGCCACATCCCCTTCGATGTCCCCACCCCACTTCCCCCACTCTTTGAAGAAGCCTGGCCTCGCTGAGGAATCCTCACAGAGGAGGTGAATTTCCCTGAATCACAACGGTCTTGAGTCATGGTTCCCTGGGATAAAGTTCTGCTTTGTTGATAATGGGAGGAAGCCAGGGCCTGCTTTTGCTATTGCCCAAAGAAAAGACAGACAGAAAGAAACCACCTTGCAAAAGACAAAATCAGCTTGTGTCACAGAGCCTCCCTCCCTCTACCCTTCCCTCCCCTCTTCCCCACAGTCTTCCTCTTTCCATCCTTCCTCCTACCTGTATGTCTACCTCTGTGTCTACAGTGGGCATTGCAAAGGTAGCTGCACAGTGATTAAATACTGTTTTCCACTCCCCTCACAGATGATTTAAGCCAGAAATTGAAACCCTTGGGTGAGGCAGAACGAGAATTTATTTTGAATCTGAAGAAAAAGGAGTGTGAAGAGAGAGGTTTGGAATATGATGGGCAGATCAATGCCTGGGATCTCCATTACTACATGACTCGGACCGAGGAACTCAAGTACTCCCTGGACCAAGAAATCCTCAAGGAATACTTCCCAATCGATGTGGTCACAGAAGGCTTACTGCACATCTACCAGGAGTTGTTAGGACTTTCCTTTGAGCAAGTGACAGATGCTCATGTTTGGAATAAAAGTGTTACTCTTTACACTGTGAAGGATAAAGCTACAGGGGAAGTGTTGGGACAGTTCTACTTGGACCTCTATCCAAGGTACTGAGCATCACCTTGTTGGAAGGGAAATGGAAGGATTCAGCCACTTCCGGTTGATGGCTTTTCTGTTTTGTAATTCTTAGTACAGGGCTTGATAAATGAAGGGCCTGAAGCCAGAATGTCTGACTTCATCACATACTAGATACGTTGCTTAATTTTTAGGTGCATTAGCAGCTTCATCTATACCACAGGTCCTATAAATGGGAAGAGTAAGGGTACCTACCTTCCTCAGCTTGTTGGAAGGGTTCAGTTGGAGAATTCTATGAAAAGCATTTGGAAGAGTCCCCAGCACAGAGCAATTGCTTAATTAGTTAGCTAGCACCATCATGTGAGTGCAAACAAGGTACAAGCACTCAGCTACTAATCAAAAGGTTGGAAGTGTGAGTCCACCCCACAGATACATTAGAAAAATGGTCAAAAGCCATCTGGAGCACAATTCTCCTCTGACGTGCAAGGGGTTGCCAGGAGTCAGAATCGACTCCACAGTAACTGGTTACTAGTAGCATTAACAGCAACATCTAGTCTGTGGACTGCATTCATTTAAAATTGGCCACCCCCACCCCTCCAAATACATTACTTCGTCTGTCATTTGTCTACCAGTACTCTTAAACCTATTGTTATCCGCCTCAGCCTTGCTAAGAAGCACAGTGTCACGGTATGAGGCTTGTTTCCTTTCAAGATCTGACTCTTAACCAAAAAAGAAAAGCTTTGACTGTCGCTACTATTGACAGATTATTTATACCTCTTTTTAAACTTCTGATGGCTCCACCGGATTGAACTATCCGTCTTCTATTTATCAGAGTATGCCTGCAAGTGTTACACTGTTTCACACGTAGCTTGAGGAACTTAAAACAATATTATTTCTAATTTATCCATCTCATCATTTGTTGGCTATTTTTGCTCTTCATTCTTCTTTTACATATGTTGTAAATATACAATATTTTTTATATTGCTGTTTTAAATACTTAAATTATTTTGATCCATCCAAAATAAGAGAATTTTTGTTTACCTTCACTTATTGTATGCTCACATTCTATTCCTTTGCGTAAATCCTGCTGCCTGAAGATTTTCCTTTAAATATTCTTGTGTTAATATATTTTCCAAGTTTTGCCTTTCAGGGAAAGTCTTTGTTTTTCTTTATTCTTTGGAAGATATTTTTACTTATAGTAGAAATCTGGATCCACAGGCTTTTCATTCAGCATTTCAAAAATGTCACTCCATTTTCTCCTGATGTGCATAGTTTCAGGCAAGAAGTCAGCAGCAGTTGTTATGTCTGTCCATCTGTAATGTGTTCTTTTCCTTTGACCACTTTCAGAATGTTCTCTTGCCGCTTGTTTTTAGCAGTTACTGTATACATAAGTGTTTTGGATAGTTTTTGGCTTCATATTTACCTTTACTGGTTTTCTATGAGATGCTTGGATATGTGGTTTGCATCTCATTCATTTGGGGAAATTCTCTTTCAATTCTTCAAATAGTTCCTCTATCCTGTTTCTGTTTTTTTCTGCGATACAAGTTACACATGATAGATCATTTGATATTGTGTCATCGATCTATACACTGTAACAGAGTAGCACAAAGCAAAAGAGCCTTTATATTTTCCTTAGGGGAACTTCCGTTCAAAGCTCTGATAGGGTCGTGGGCTCGGAATTGGGCCTCTAGCCACAGACTAGCAATCCAAACCACGAGCCGCTCCTGGAGAGAAAGGATGAGATTTCCCGCTCCCTCAAAGGTTTTCCGCTCCCTTACTGCCTCAGAAACACATGGGCGTTGTTGTACCCTCCCCTGACGGGCCACTAGGAGTCAAAGTGACTTGGTGGCAATGAACGAGTGAGTGAATTTATGTTGGCCTCTCTGTATGTTCACGGAAATGTTCCTTGTCTGTTCGTTTACTCGTGACCCTGTCTACAGCAATCATCATCTCTTTTACTGTGCTTTTTATTTATTTGAGCTTTTTCATTTCTTTATTTCTTATTGTTTCCTACTTTCTTTATCCCTCTAACCTGTATGGTATCTACTTTTTTCATTAGACCTTTAAATATAAACGAATGCAGTTTTTTTGTGCCTGAATATAAATACACCCCTACTTCTAGTATGTCTTTAGGGAAGTTTAATTCTGTTTAGTACTTGAGCTGGGATAGGGCTTTTGTTGTCATGGTTACTCTCCGTTCACCACGCGCTTCAGATTTCTGTACTCTGTTTCGGGTGGAAGCTAGTTTGCCTGAGAGTTTTCCTCAGTGTCTATTCCACCCCCTCCTTTATGTCTCCCCTTTGTGCTGTGCCTCCGAATGGGTCTCTCTGGAAGCTCATACTCCTCTGCCAGCAGTGGACTGCTGGTCTGTGTTACTTGATGTTTGTTTACCTGCTTAGGAGATGGGAGTCCTCTATTGTCCTGTTGAAGCCTCAGTATTCAGCAGGCACTATAGGTCCTTCTCAGTGATCCTGCGCCACTTCACCCTCAACTGTAGCTCTGGACCCAGAACCTATTTCTGTTCTTCTTCCTGGGGTCCAGGGTTTTTTGGGGGCGTTGTTGTTGTTGTGTTTGTCTTCCCAAATGATAGTGGACCTTCGCCAGTGCTGTAAGGATGACAGCATTCATTGCTTTTCCCCAGCAATGGTAAGCTTTTGTTCTATAGGGGAGAGAAGCAAAAGGAAGCCAGACCATGTTCCATGGCTTTACCACAGCAGCTGTGCTTTCCACTGAGGTATGCAGCAGGTCTGGTACTCCCCAAGGGCTCTCAGCCACCTCAGTCGTTCTGTATGCACCCACTGAAGTCTATGAAGAAAACTTGAAAGTGGGTGTAAAATTTCCCCAATCTACATTCTCCCCTTTTCTGTTTTCACTAGTAATTTTTCACTAGTAATTCGTAGTTGTTGTCTTTAAAAAAATTGTACTGCAATAACATATTTACTTTGCCTATTTTGTCATAGAGACACACATATGGTAAAGGACATATTTCTAAACTTCCCATTACAATCACTTTTTTTGTTTTGTTTTGGTTTGGTTTTTTGTTTTTATTTCGGATTTGAATTTCTTTTTTTCTTAATCGTTTTATTAGGGGCTCATACGACTCTTATCACAATCCATACATACATCAATTGTGTAAAGCACATTTGTACATTCATTGCCCTCGTCATTCTCAAAACATTTGCTCTCCAACAATCACTTTTAAGTACCCAGTTCACTGGCATTAATTACATTCATTGGACTCTACAGCCATCACCTCTGTTCATTTCCACAATAGTTATAAGTGATTAGTAAATTAATTCATCATTTAACTGTGAATTTAATGAGTTCATAATTTAAGTTTAGTAAATGTTATCTTTGAATAATTTCTTTAAAACTCTTCTTACTGGTAGTGTGCCGTGTCTGCTCCAGGTAAGTCAGTCGCTTGCTTCCATCCACTCTTGTGGGACTCACTGGTTTCTGATTTTGAGTTTAGTTGATGATCCCTCAACCTTAGCTCCCTGTTGGGTTTAAGAAACGTGGTACCTGAAGGACGGGCAGTTTGCTGCTGCTGTGACTGTCGGTGCTGTTGCTGCTGCTTGAGATGTTGTTGTCATTGTACATGTGGGGCCGATGCCTTTTCCAGTTTTATCCATCCTAATGAGAAGTTAGAAAATGATCTGTGTCTTTTTAACTTGAATAGCAGAGGAGCCCTGGTGGGAATACACCTTGGGCTGCTAACTACAAGGTCAGGAGTTCAAAACCACCAGCGGTTTCTCAGGAGAAAAACAAAGCTTTCTACTTCCATTAAAAAATACACTCTTGAAAACTCACCGGGGCAATTCTACCCTGTCCTGTAATGTCGCTAGGAGTTGAGTCGATGGCAGTGAGTTTTTGAGTATCACCAGGAAAAAGAGTAATTAGAGTCACCAAGAAAAACAGTACAGACTGGTACAGATAGGAACTGGAAACACAGGGAATCCAGGGCGCATGATCCCATCAGGACCAGTGGTGTGAGTGGCGATACTGGGAGGTGGAGAGAGGGTGGGGTGGAAAGGGGGAACCGATTATAAGGATCTACATGTGACCTCCTCCGTGGGGGATGGAAAACAGAAAAGTGGGTGAAGGGAGACGTTGGACAGGGCAAGTTATGACAAAATAATAACTTATAAATTACCAAGGGGTCATGAGGGAGGGGGGAGGGAGGGGAAAAATGAGGAGCTGATGCCAGGGGCTTAGGTGGAGAGCAAATGTTTTGAGAATGATGAGGTCAATGGATGTACAAGTGTGCTTGACACAATGGATGTATGTATGGGTTGTGATAAGAGTTGTAAGAGCCCCTAATAAAATGATTTAAAGAAAAGAAAAACAGTATAGGAAAAAATACAGAAACTTAAAGTTTTAAAAATACCTGCCCAAACCTGAATGCACTACTCACTTCTGAGAACACACATGCAAATGACCCTGCTCCAAGTTGAAGTCTGGCCTCCCGAGCGTGCAAAGTGGCCATCGCTGACAGCCCAGTAAAGGAGCTGTAGTAGAAGTTAATGCTTTTCCCGGCTAACTAAAAGAATTGTTTCCCCAAATCCTGTCTCGTTTGTAAAAGAGCTCGTTTAATTGTGAGTGGAGATTTTCCTTATTTAAATAAAAGGAAAAACCTCATTGTCTGGATTTTGTTTTGTTTATCAATTCTGTTGTAAAGAAAAACAAAACAAAATTACATGACTCAAAGCCATAACTTTTCATTTGAAATTTGCTTCAACACTCTTGAAAACTGAATTGATTCCATCATTGGCAAAGAACAGCGGGAGCACATTGAAATAAATTGGCTCATCAGCAGTATCCGAGGTATGGTGAGCGTTCTGAATTCTCCTACGTGAGATTGTTCAACAAAAGAGAGCTTGGGCTGTTAGACTCAGGGCAAGTGACGATGGATGTTTTCTGTTTGGTGTTCGTTTTTCCATTTTGACAGAACATTGACCAGTTTTCCAAAAGGTGAGTGAAATGTGTTAAGCGCCTTCTGGTCTCACTCTGGCCGGGCGACTGAGCGACCCCTGTGTCTGCCCCTAGGGAAGGGAAGTACAGCCACGCCGCCTGCTTTGGCCTGCAGCCGGGCTGCCTTCTCCCCGACGGCAGTCGGATGATGTCGGTGGCCGCCCTGGTGGTGAACTTCACCCAGCCCGCGGCGGGCCGCCCTTCCCTCCTGCGGCACAGCGAAGTGAGGACGTACTTCCACGAGTTTGGCCACGTCATGCATCAGATTTGCGCACAGGTGCGTGTTTCCGTTCGGCCGGTTTTGCCGCCGCTTTTTTATGATAAGCCGACCATTTTCTCATTGCTTCTCTGGGCTCCACACCACCACCACCCTTAGCCACGGTGCTCCAGTCGGTGCTGTTGTTTGTTTGTTTGTTTGTTTGTTTGTTTGTTTGTTTGTTTTCCGAAACGGAACCTGTGCAAGAGTTTCCTAGGCCTTCTGCAAAACTCCGCTTCCTTTTTCCAGTCATGTCCTCTGTCGCAGAGTAGTTTCACCCAAATATTAATCCACTGGTGAAAGAGCTGTTTTGAATATTGATCTATGCAAAAGGGAAAACCCTCCCACTGGGGAAGAGTTACAAATACTGTGTTGTTGTTGTTGTTCTTTCAATTTTTTTCCTTTCCAGGAACTTGGGGCAAGTGTCACAGATAACCAGCGATATAATGTCTCTTGTTTATATTACTACTTCACATAATTCCATGATTTTCCACTCTCTCGGGCCCCTTCTTAGCCTCTAAGCAGAGTAATAAGTAATAGAACCAACTCTGCCGAGAGTTGCCCAGGGAAACCGGGTGTGTCGTGTTGGACTGTGGTTGTCTGTGTGATACTGGAAGCTATCCCACTGTTATTCCAAATACCTGTGTGGTCTTTCACGTGGACGACAAGCTACAGTGGAGCTTCCATATTAATACAAACTAGCAAGAAGGAAAAGGCAGTGGACTTCTGAAAAATGAGCCACTGAAAACCTTAGGAATAGCAGTGGAACATGGTCTGATGGGGGACCAGAAGGTGAGCCCCTCTGATTGGAAAGCACTCAACATACAGCTGGGGATTCCAGAACAGTGCATTGTTCTCATGTGGAAACCACATCGACCAGCAGACTGTCATTTGAACCAGAACAGCGAGATGCTTAGTGGTTTGAAATCAGGAAAGATGTGTGTCAGGGTTATATCCATTCACCATGCTTAGTCATTATGCTGAACCAGTAATCTGCGAAATGGAGCAGACGAAGAGGAACATGGTGCCCAGCACTGAAGAAAGGCTCACCACCAATGGTGAATAGACCGTTGATATAACCTTACTTGCTGAAAGGGAGGAGGACTTGAAGCTTGTGGTGAATATCAAAGACTCCAGTCTTCGGGATGATTACACCTCAATGTGAAGAAGTCAAAATTCCTCAACTCTGGACCAATACACGGCCTCATAAATCACAGAAAAGACTGAAGTTGTAAGGAATGTCATTTTACTTACACCCACAACCAATGTCCATGGAAGCAGCAGTCAAGAAATCAAGTGATATATTGCAAATCTGCTAAGAAAAGACCTTTTAAAAGTGCTTAAGACAACAAACAAAGAAGTTCCTTTGAGGACTAAAGTGTGCCTTACTCACGCCGTGGTATTTTCATTTGTCTCAGCTACATGCAAAAAAACTGGACCGTGAAAAGCTGGCACTAACTCAGAGGCACCGGACAACAGCCACCTTGCAGAGAATTTTCCATAAAGACTGCGTGTGCCGTTAATTGCAGCTGATCCCCAGTTCGGAAAGCGAAACTTTTTAACACAGTCCAGACTAATTGAGCCCTATAATTTGCTAATATTTAACCATTTTTGATAAGTAAAAACATCTTGTTTAGTAGTCTAACCTAATAAATATACTGTTATTAACAAAGGAAGCACAGTTTTCCAACTTTGAAATCTCTATCAATCTCTTAATTTTTTTTAATTTTAGAAGTTTCACATTTATAGAAATGTTTGGAAATTATGCAGAGATTTTTCCATATACTACTGTCTGCCCTGTTGTTTTACAGGACTTGAGGACTTTGGGCACGATAACTATACACCACTCCTCACACCCACCTGCCCCCCTCTGACTTTACTGGTATTTCCCTATGTCCATTTCCATTTAAAAAAATAAATATTGTGTTATTGAATATTCATAATTTTTTTCAAATGCTAAGGATTTGGCATGGCTATGTAATAAGGTGGCATGAAACATTCAGAGGTGTGCACTACATGTAAATAACTCTGATTACAACATTAACCAATATAAGCAAGCAGTTTGAACTGTAGGTGCAAGTTCAAAATTGGTATTAAAAAAACAGTGATGTAAGCTGATACTGAGGGCTCAAGTAGAAAGCAAGTATTTTGAGAATGATAAAGCCAACAAATGTATAAATGTGCTTGACACAATGGATGTATGTATGGATTGTGATTAGAGTTGTACAAGCCCCCAATAAATTGATTTTTTAAAATAATTAAATTTTTAAAATCTAACCTAATTTTCACAAAACTTGACTTTTCCATTTTCTTTTTTTTTTTTTTTTGACTTTTCCATTTTCATAAAAACTAAATCTGCCTTAGGTTTATGTAGTAGATTCCAATAGTTGTTGCTGTAACCAGCACTGGAGGTGGACATAGTCAGCCTCATCTGGCTTCCCCATTGCCCTAAAGCAAGAGACAGATATGCCCCCATTCTCCATCCTGCATTACCTGCTCTCACGCCCACCGTTCATCCTTCGCTAAGTCGATAATTTGTTGCAATGGTCACACAGATAATGAGAATTATGGGGGTTTATTAGGGAAGTCAATAGCTTCCCATAAGTCAGGATAAGCATTGGATGCCCCTCAGCCAATAGTCAAGTTTCTCTCTCCTGTTCTCTCTCTCAGCCTTTTGTTGAAGCCAGCCTGCCTGTCACTGTCCCACAGCTCCATAGTGTCGGCCAGATGAGAAGAAGGTACCCCATAGTCTCAGTGCTACTCCTCCAGGTCTCTGTGCCTCAGTCCCTGATGCGTCTGGTCTCGGTGGTCTCCACCACTTGGACAGGCTCTTACAGGGTCCTCAGGCCTTCTCTCTCTGCATTTGCTTCAAAGACAGCTCATCCTTAGAGCCAGGAGGTGGTCACCAAAACTGACCAATTCTCTCTCTGACTGTGGGAAGATAGGACTCTTTGTATCTTCTCCTCCATCATTTGGATGGGAGTCGCAGAGACTTGGGTGGCACCATAGTTAAGAAATCTCACTCTGTCACAGGTGTAGTCTTGGGAATTAAAATTGTATAAAAAATACTTTTCAGGTATGGATGATGATTTAGTTTCAAGGCTCGCTGAGTTATAAAAGTGTTTTTATTTGTATGAATGTTCAGTAGGACAGTCTGAAAGAAGTGCCAGATAATGGAGAAATTCTTTGTTCTCATGACGTGTGCGGGACTATCCTGGACATTGCTAGCCTCCACAGTGATCCCGAATCAAAAATGTATCCTCTGATCTCCAAAATATTACTACCACATTTGATGGGAAACTGGGAATTCTTTCACCATTTCAGCTTTATATCTTAGAACGTCCATCTTTCATGGAAAAGACAGAGTGTTTTAGATGGTTTGTTCTGCAGTAACAGAAAAACCAGAAGTGGGTGGGTCTAGTAAACAGACATTTCCCCCTCCCAGTTTAGGAAGCTAGGTGTCCACATTCATGGCACTGGCCCTCGCGTTCTCTGTCGGCTCTAGGGGGCAGGTCCTTGTCACTTTTCAGCTGAGGTCCTCAGTTCCTTGGCAGTCATCACGTCTTATCTGTCTCTCTGTCCACCCCTCCATTTGTGCTTCCTTCTCTGGGTCGAATTGGTTTTTTATCCTCAAAGGCCATTAACTGACAACGTACTCAGCTCTGAAATCGCCTCGTTAGCATAACCAACAGGCTGCTCCCCAATTGGCTTATGTCTGCAAGTATAGAGATTAGAGTTTATTACAGATATTTGAGGGAGGGAGGCACAATTGAACCCATAACAGAGGAACAAGATCGGCATCTATGCAGATAACTAGTCCTGTCATAACCATTTCTGTAGTTGTTGTTATGTGCCATCTAATTGATTCAGACTCATCGCGACCCTGGGTGTGGCAGAATGGAACTCAGCCCAGCCCTGCACCCCCTCACAATTGTTGCTACCATTCCTCCTATCTTTTTACTCTAAGGAGAGGAAATATTTGAAATACTCTAAGCTTGCCTCCTTAGATGATTTTAAAGTCTGTTAATACAGCATGAGTGTTTCTCAAATATGTATTATATTTGACTTCAATCAATGTCCATTTTTGTGGCTGAAGTTTCTTTTCATTAAAATAGGCTCAGTTTTAAACTTTTCTAAGATATCTTTGAGTATATTAGAAATTCACATACTTTTTGTAATTTCAGCCTTATGGGATTTTATTTGATTATTGAAAATGCAATTACATATTTGTACAAAGTTACTGATGAACAGCTTTATTTTAGCATATTGGCTCCTTTTGAAAATCTTGACTAAAACTATGGATACCTCTTTCAGGAAAATGGACGTGTACTCAGACACCAAAACACAGAATCCCATAGTACTCACAGATCCCCTACGTCCCTGCTCAGGGTAGACACCAAGTTAAGAACTCTGGATTATAGCACATTTCCTTCTAAGTTGGGTGTTTATTGTAGACTGGTGGCTTAATAAGGAAGCAATTTGAGGTCTTAATCATATCTATGAAAATGATTGCAATCTTCACATAGGCTTTTCTTTTAATGAACTCAATCTACATTCCTGTTTTCAGGTGGGGTTCTCTTATAACCCTATATATGGTTATCATGTACTGAGAGGACAGTTCTGTAGAGCCCTTTTATATTATTCTTATTTTTCCTTATTTTGATGCTTTGAGACAGATACTTGTGTGTTGGAGAATATTTGCTTGGTGCTGTGACATTTTAGAGTTGTTTGACTCATGGCTGAGCTATATATATATATTGCATTCACCAGTTTGATGTCCCCCTTGTGAAACAGTAGACTATGTTCAGTTCTTGGAGTTTTGCCTAAGCATAAGCACGAGCACAAAATGTGTCATACTGATGAATTGGTCATCTCTACATGAGGTTATCTCTGAGTAATCCTGCACTTGTCTATTATTCCTTCAGATGTTCTGTAATGCATGGCATCTTAAGGAATAACTACAGTTAGAACCAATGATTAAAACATTTGTCTTAAAAGAAATACGCACAGATCCTTATAGT